AGGCCTAAAACTAAATAACAGAACCTAACGAGCTTAAGCTAATTATAGCTTAGGTCTTCATAATGGTACAATAGGTGATAGCTTATTTAAGAAGATTTTATATGCGGATAATGTACGCAATTTGTCAGTTTGTCAGTCTGAATAGGGAACCTAAAAAGCTGACGACAATGACAAGACAATTCATTAAAAAGGCGATGATAAATTGTTCTGTGGATATAAGGATTTTAGCTACAATTATAATGGATAGATGATGAATCTGTTTGATACTTTTGTGGTGTCCTTTATGGTATATTTTTATTTTTTAGGAAGGAACAGTTTGCATACAATTATTCTCTAGAAACTTAAAATTATATCGAGGGGTAACGGGCTATTTGGTTTAAGCGACATTTTGGGCGATATTGAGTTATATATATATTCGGAATCAGCGAATTTTTCTCCGTCGAATGATGCCGGTTTCATTAAAATCAGAGCACTTTTTTGGCGTTTCAAACAATTCTATTTTCATGTTGTTTCCAAAGTGGCAGTGTATTAAACGACATGGATTTCGCATTTTTTATTAAATTATGTACTTGAACCATACCATCATATTAATAACTGAGACATAAACCAGTCACCCTATCTCTAATTATTAAGTCAACATGAGTTAAAGCGTTTTTCTTGTTTCTAATTTTTATTAACAAGTAACTTGAATCATTTTGACTTCCCACTAATCACACGGTGTGATGTCGCTTAAAACATTTGTCCGTCATCCAAATGCGTCATGGTACGTCTCTTAAACATTTCTAGCTGCCTCTATTTTCTACGCAGGGTGCTACTTAAACCAAATAGTTGTTTTCGTTTAGATATTTTGTTTAGTCATAAACCATTTAACCCTCATTTTTTTTTAAATGCATGTCGTTTTATACAGACGATAACATTGATAATGAATGTTGAAACATTTTTCCAGTATTCATAGAAATACGAGTCGGTCTTTCAATCACTAAGTTTTAATATGGTACATTTCAATTATGTCATATGATACCATATTTATTTCATCGCCCTGGTGTTAAAAATCGTTATCATCCAACTGGACTATCGTGCGCGCTGGCGCTTCAGTCACTCCAGAGTGCGCCGAAGACAGACGGGACGCGCGCACACCGCCAGTGTTTACGTAAAACGCTCATTGAAATTGAATCCTAAGTACTTTAATTTCAAGATGAACTTTGGCAACAATGACAATTTAAGGGCTATTGTGGAGGTTGATGACATACAATCTACGGCTGATTTAGCAACAGCTTTCGACGTTAGCGTCAAAACAATATTGGTACATTTGCGTCAAATTGCCAAGGTAAAAAAGCTTGATAAGTGGGTGTCCCACAAACTAAATGATCAACAGAGCTAAGTATGCATCGAGCAGTGCGAGGGGGACTGGGATGCCGTCTCCTCCTTTTGCGAAGCAGTTATGCTAGCTAAGGAGGAGGCGGGACGCGTGAGGCAGCGAAGCGCTGCTCCTCGCAACCCAGCCATCGCGAAGGACACACCTGGCGTCGGGGATCGCGGGACGATCTCCAGTTGCGGGCCTGCGGACGGTGAGCATGGGTGGCTCCCCGTCCGACCAGAAACAGACCCGAGCGTACGGGGCGTCGCGTTCCACGCGCGCCTCAAAGAGCCATCAGACCACCACAGATGGGGCCCAACAGGGTCGATGCCGATTCGGAGTCGCGGAGAACCTAACGGGTAACCGGGGCTCCGGCTCGACGTGCAGGAGAAGAAACGGGGTGATTTTTAGTCAGTAAGAGTCTGACACTCTTTCCCGCCTCACCCAGGCGGGAGCAGTCATTCGATGATTTTCCACCCTTAAAAAAAATGCATCGAGTAGTGCCTTGCACTGCACTGCTCAATATACACACAAATGAAAGAATTTTGATTTGCATTGTCACCTCCGATGAAAAATGAAATCTGTGTGATAACCACACGCGTTTAGCATGTTGGTTGAATCCTAGTTCAGCACCTAAACAATGCCCTAAACGAACTTACCCCTAGAAAAGTGATGGTCACTGATGGTCTAGCGCTCGCGCTATTCTGATTCATCACAAATTCTTACCAAACGGAGTGAGCATTACTACGGATGTGTAGTGTGAAGAACTGAACACAATGATGGAGAAGCTGACACATCTCCAACCAGCACTGGTCAATCGCTAATCTCCATTGCTCCTGCATTACAACGCGCGACCTAAAGCTGCACAAGAGACGGCCTCCACGTTACAAGAACTGGGGTTGTGAAGCTCTCCGACATCCACCCTACTCACCAGTCACCAGACTACTTCTTTTTCCAGAATTTGGATAACTTCTTCGCGGGAAAAAATTTAATAACCGAGAGGCAGTACAAAATGCATTTGAAGAATTTGTTGCTTCCCGTCCAGCTGATTGAAGAAGGGCATCAATAAACTGCCACTGCGTTGGCAACGATGCATTGATTGCATGGGTGATTACGTTGATTATACAAATAAAAAATACATGAAAAAATCGTTTAAATTTTTTCATACAAAACGGCAATTTCAGTAAATGACCCATTAATTTAATTGATTTTGCTGAAATATAATCGATACTATACTCTAAATAAATACTTTGATATTGTGTTGTGTTTATTTATTCAATGTAAGCATCTAAGATTTTCGGTGATTGCGATATATCCAGGTTGTTTTATCAGCCATTAATCGCCTTAGATGTAAATAAACATAAACATTAAACGTTATAATTTCAATGTTATTTGTCACATAAGTAAATTAGCCTGTCACTCATTTTAGTCTGAATTGGTAGTTAAGATAAATAGCTTGCTTCTATTAATTTTGGGTGTCGTCACTTCATATTTTTTAGCTTACTCTGTAAATAGAGTGCATTGTCGCTTAATTTTTTTCCCTTGTAGCCAATTGTAGTTATGAAGTCACTTAAATCATTTTTCCTGACTCTAAAAAAGGGCAGATTGTATTAAGCGACATTTATCTTTGTTATTAAAGGTCCGCTTTATTTAGAATTAGCATCAGCAACTAGATAATTTAATTTAAATTTCAATGCAATTTACCCCGTTCAAATAACTGCAGAAGCGTTTTTGTTACGAATTTTTTTTCGAAATTTCAAACTTTAAAAGGCTCTCCTGTAAAGTTGCAAAAATGTCGCTTAAACCAAATAGCCCGTTACCCCTCGATATAATATTCATTTATTTCTCTCATCATCAATCAATGATATATAACAAACAATTTTACAAATACTGTATATCTGAGACTGGTGTCTGTTGTAGGAAAAACCTGTATCACTGATCACCAGACCACACCACAGACGCTGTAGGTAAAATATCTTTTCTTAAAATTAAAAACCAAAAAACAATGCCTTAACCATGTCGTAAAAGACAAGTTAAAATCCCACAAACTGGTTTTATGAAACCTATACATGTCGCGAGGAACCTAACGGGTTACCGGGGCTCCGGCTCGAAGTGCAGGAGTAAGAACAGGGTGGTTTTTAGTCAGTAAGAGTCTGACACTCCCTTCCGCCTCACCCAGGCGGGAGCAGTCATTCGATGATTTTCCCTCCTTAAAAAAATACATAATAGTATACATATGTATACATGCCACAAAACAAATGGATATTGAAGACCAAATCTCAACTGACATTTGTGACACAGTTAGCAGTTTACGTTTCTAAACGGATGAATTCACCGTATCGCATGTAAGGGGTAAATGGATCATTTTGAGGCCAATCCAGAGAAACTAACTTCACAAATCTGATTGTAATCCTCACTTGCAAAGTGCAACCGAGAACTAAGTTTAAGTGCACCGCAACAGTCCTTTATACAAATTACTATTCAGGATAAACTTTAATGCTAGCTAAAGTGTACACAATAGAACTGAAACCTTTTGATAAAGCTGTGAATGAAACTGTTCATGTTCAATCTAATGGGGTAGAACGTTGATAAGAAAATGTGGGAATTCGACATAATATTATTGTCTAGGACTATGATCTTTAAATGTTTTATTCTTGAATTAGATGTCGGTGTATATCAGTCTCGTTTTGTAAAAAATGGGTGTAGTTTGAAGATACATAGTACAAAGCATTTTTGTTTTCTTGATCTGGCAGTTACCTATATAAAACTGTGACGCTATTGTGCTCTCCTTTGAAAAGACGAGCCAAAATCCGTACTCCCAATTTCCGTGTCCTTATCTATTAATGGGGTAAAGTGAAGGTATCCCTCATCTCGTAAGTATCCCTTAACAGTTGCTACTGAAAATAATCCTCATTATTTTATACCCACAAATAGTGTTACGACCTTAACTTAAACCTTAAGTTTACGACCTTCAAATTACTTAAGGAAAAATTGTAAAAGAAACACCTACTTTCGAACTTTACCAACACCAATAGAAAATGACATTTTAAAAGCATTGTAATTAATACGTTATTCTCACAACTCATACCTAGCGTGGCCGCCGCCATTTTGAATGAACAAATTCAACGGTTTCCAATTCACCACTTGTCATAAAAATAACTCAATGTTACGCGATCAGTTTTGACAGTTTACTCAAAAATTGAAATGTTCACTGTCAGTTAAATTCTCATTGATATTGACGTTCATTCTATTAAAAGCCCTTTCCAATTTATCATTTGGTGGGACATTGTCCAATTTTGAATCAAGCTTGTTCTGATTTCATTCATTATCAGCATCTGTTTCGTCTATGTTTAAAGATATAAAGAGTATTGTTGTCGGAAAAGATATTGTTTTTACCGTAGTCGAAAAGTATACTGTAATTGCGACCATATTACTTAACTCGTCGAGTACCGTATTTATAGACACAATTAAAGAACAATAGGTTGCGGTCACCGGTGATCGCTTGGTGTTTGACAGTTTAAAGAGATTTCTGGGTTTTTCTACCGCCCATATTTTCTTTTCCATATTTGTAGGTACTATTTTCAAATGATTTCTTACGAGTTTTTTTATCATTTGTTCCAGGATGGTGCGTGCAAGCTGCCTGTTAGCGAGCTGCGTGCTCATGACCCTGCTCCTCATTATGCCCGCCTCTGCATACCCCAGGTAGTGGTATAATTTACAGTTAATATCATCGTAAGATAAACAAAATTCATTCATTTTGAAATAGTATTAGACTATGACACTTAAGTATCTTAGACTTAGTGTGTCCCTAAATTCTCCAAAAGATACATAACATTTTCAAAATTGGATTTTCTATAACAATAAACTATTATTGACCTTGCCTTATCAAATGGGAGTGTTTCTATTACTGTATATGAAGTGACGTGATACTCGATCAGTCATATAAGAATTTTGTCCCATATCGACAAATGACTGGACCTTTCTTTATTAAACACAGGCGTTATAGTCCTAAATGTAGGCGCCACTGATGTCAGAAGTCCAACACGTAGGCCTAGAGACACGCCATTTATTATTCAGCATCATAACCGAACAGTAAGATGATAGATGCTACTGTCTATCTGTATAATGAAATTATACGTTTGGGTGACGAAGTTGATTTGTTACGGCGATATGCTACTGAAAGGTTCAAATTCATAAATTTAAAGTTTCTTCTACGTGACTTCTTATTTACTGTATCAAATTATCGGCAAGATTCAAGAATAAAGAAAAGCAATAAAGATAAGACTGCACGGTTGGCTCGGTGGCTGGGCAACTGGCTGCCACGCAACGTGCCGCTGGTTCGATTCCCGCACGGAACAACTCTTTGTTGAAACGATTGTTGTTCTGGGCCTGGCTATTATGTCTATGTGAACTTGTATGTTTGTAAACACACCAACGACACAGGAGAAAATCCTAGTGCGGGGCAAAATTTAAAATAAAAATGTTTTCGAATGTGATACCGTAATGGGTAGAATTTAAAATTGTATTTTGCCTGACCAAATAAGATCTATTTTACGTTTATATCTAATTAAACACGAAAGCGTAACAGTAACAACGAATGATTCAGATAATGGGAATACCCTTTCCCGTGCCTATTCCTAGCAGTATCATTCTTTGTAATTTTTTAACACACACTTGTCTATTTTCTAGTCCGAGCAACTACTTCCGTGAAGACATTCAATACGAACCAGAAGAGATCATGGACATGCTGAACCGCCTCGGAAACCTCATCCAGATGGAACGCAAAATGGAAAAGTAAGTTCAGAAACTAATTAGCATTAAATCACTAGCGTCAAATATATAGCAGTATAAAATATTTGGGGTAGAAGTGAAGAGAAAGCAATTGGTGTAGATGCCAGATGAAATTGATTGTTAAACTTTAATAATGGTGTTTCTAGATATTTAATAAACTGTAGGTAAGTATACCGAAGGAAATCTTTGATTTACTCATTTATATACATTTCAATAAGACTGAATTTGGAATAACATCGAGACTGTAGAAACATGCAATAGGTATCTGTAATAATCTCTCGAAATGACTGTAATTTACTCATCTTATCTCTTAATGATTAGGTGTAACATCTTTTGTCAATTGGGATGATGACAGGGTATGAAAATTTAAAATCTAATAAGTCCGTAAGTTAGGTAATGAAAAAATATTAGAGGTAGAAATGTATTTTTTTATTTGGTCATATACCAAAACAATACTTAGATAAAACGAATCAAAGTTTAGGAGTGGGGGTTAAAACGTCATTTCTACGTATAAAATGTACATAGAACTGACGTCACACGACATTTCAAATTAATATATCGTCGAAAGTATTCGTTTCTGTAAGAAATTTAAAAATACGTGTCTTATGATTTAAATAATCTACCAGACGGACATTAAAAAAATATGGCATCTACACTATTCATCAAACTATTCGAATATGTAAAAACGTAGAATTATACAAATTATTTTTAAAGTTCATCAGCATTTACATTGTTATCTTCTACTTATGTAATACATTTTTATCTCTTTGCAGCTATAAAGAAGACATTACTAGGTACGTCTGTCTGTCGTACTTAGACAGTTGTAGTTATATGTGCTTATTTTTTTTTAACATTATCTTTTTCATTTTTGTTTTAAAGTAGTTTAACATTTTTATTCAAACTTGCATGGACGTGTTCTATTTGCTTTAAATTATTAAAATGTTCCCAGCTTGTCTTTACTTAATCAACTTGTTAATCTTTTAGTATTATTACGTTCGCTGCTGTACCTGCTAGCTGCTTCGCTTGATTGTATAATTCAAATTCAGTTAGTTTTATTAAATCTACGATTGTTGCAAGGACGTCTTGAATTCCATTTTTAACTTATTCTATAAAGTTATTCTTGTATTTTTTTTTTATTTACTGTCTTTTGGATAACACTGTTTAACCCTTTGATTACCGTGATTATAGACACAATTAAAGAACAATAGGTTGCGGTCACCGGTGTCCTCGCTGTGTTTGACAGTTTAATATTTACTCTAATTAGAATTCTTTACTTGAAAATCAAATTAAGTGTATGACTAAACCAGAAAATACATTTAATGTTTCAGTCGCATTGTTTCTAGGAAACAATAGTAACAAAACCAATAAATATAACAACGCTATTGCCCTTACTATATTGTAGACCAAATAGTAATATGGCGTTATACCCAAGAGATATTTATTTGAACTCAGCTAACTCCCGGTGGGACTCGTTATAGACAGACGATTTTTGGAGAAATATAAATCTAATAATTTATTATTTTTGAAAGCTACGAATATTCTCTGAATGGTATTATGTATGTAAAAAGAGAGTATGAAACTAGATCATTTTTGTACGGACAAAACGCACCTAGCATTTAATAAGACATTTACTGAAAGCATAATTCTCAAAAATACAACAGTAGTAGCGCGGAGTCTGGAAATGTGCCCGGTATATGGCAATAGGCTCATCCCCTATTACATGGAGCTCATAACATAAATAGTGAAAAGTGAGTGTTACATTCTACAGTGGCATTTAGTGCCGTAATGTGCACTTCTGCTTACCCCTTCGGGGATAAAAGGCGTGATGTTATGATGTTATGTTACATATACAATACTGTAAAGAAATCAATCGCGTTTTTAATATTTTTCAACTAAAATCACCACTGAAATCTGTGATCTGGCAAAACATAAATAAAGAAAGAAAACAAAATGACTGACTTCAAGCAAGTTGTAAAAGAAAAGAATGTCAACGATTTGCAACAAGCATTTATTTTGTTTTAAACCAGTGGAAATTTTTCATGCGCTTCAGGGAAACAATTTACAGCACTTCAGGGAAGCATTCGCGTTACGACACACAGTCCCGTGAACATTGGAGTCAGCTTTTTCATATTAAACGTCGAAATTGCTGAACAAAATTGCCTGCACGTCACAGTTTAAAAATTATTTATCTTTTTTATGCTCAAAACTTTATTCGTTTGACTTATTTTTTAGTACAGAGAGAGGTTCAATTCCTACACTTGACAAATATATTTAAACTTTGTACGATGTTGTTTTCTTTGCATCATTTTAGTATCATTTTGCATTTCAATCGGACTTTTTTTTGTACTTTTAATATAGATGCATAAATTTTTGCTAGAACCCCTACACCAGCATTAAATCAAACAACTCATGGGAACTTTTTACCGCTGCTAGACACAAATATACTTCTCTAACAAACCGTCACAACTCCTGTATCTAACTTTTCTTTTTTCTCAAATTCCAGCGAGAAACGAGCCCTTGATCTTGGCCTCAGCCGTGGATACTCTGGTGCCCTTCAAGCCAAGCACCTCATGGGACTGGCAGCAGCCAACTACGCCGGAGGCCCTGGAAGGAGGCGACGAGATGCCCACTAAATTTAGGATAAACCACCCGAATACTGCACTGAGGTGGATTAACAGATCCATGAACTACATCTCGATGCAGTACCTTCATACGCTTATCCATCAGTCAGGCTGGCTCCATTGGACAACTAAGTCACCCATTATACTATAGCATATAGTCAAATTTATTCAAATTAACGCTTAACGTGATATATTTCTAGTCAGTTTTTATAACATCCATGTTGTAATTATGTATTTTTAAATGGATTATATTGTCTGTTATACGCTTAGCGATGCATTCCCAGTGATAGATACCTGGTGGTAACCAAGAGATAAAGAAATTGTTATATCTATACTTGTCAGTAGAGTAGCCTAAAAAAATACTTCTACTATATTTTAGAATGACTTCTATAAATCGATTCTTCTGATATGATTTGTGTATTTCCAAACGATCTTAATTTTTACCCTGTAGTAAAAGTTTTTATGAAAAACGAAAAGTATATTTGACTGATTTTGATACATTTCTACGAGTCTGATGTTGTACCTAAACCTATTCTAGTCATCACTAGTCATTTCGTATGTTAGATTCCTTCTTCATATTTCATTCCATTTCGGTGTCAGTATTCCTTCAGTATTAAAAATATCATTACTTAAATATCTTTCAAGTTGTAAGATTTAATCACGAATGTCTTAAAAACGCTTAATATTTATTGTAAATTAGATCCTACAGTACTTCTTAAGATCCCAGCTGTATCAACTAGATTCAATGTTACAATTCCTATGTATGTACGTGGCAAACTAGTAAATAGATAAAATGTAAGTGATAAATACCTCCTGTCTAGAGTTTATTGTTAAAAATAAAGAGATATTCATATTTATATAAATGTGTTTACATTAATGCTTCATGTTATATCTACTTATGTCTATGTAAAATCTAACAATATCACTTATTACTGCAATGAAAAAGGCTTTTCAATGAAATCCCTCACTTTTCATCATTTTACTGACAGTATTAAAAATACTTAAATGACTATTAAGTTGTACTATCTGAACATTTTATTATCTAAAACTTCACACTTTTATAATTTTTCTACTAAAGCCTACTAACGCCATCTAGCTATGCTACGGTGAACCGTAATTAGCAACGCCATCTAGCGGTCAGACTGTGATATACCTACACAGACTAAAGTTAATGCCTCTGCCTAGTTCGTGACAAAAAGTATAGATGACACTACTAGTCGATCTCGTAGATTTTTGGTCTGCATCTGCAAATAATTTTGTATAACTTATGTAATTAAAATTAAAAAATATTAAGTGCAAATACAATATTTCTTACAGTAAATGAAACATCTGTGTATTCTAACAAAACACACGTTATTTAATAACAAAATTGTGAAAACGCTTTAAAATGTCGTCTATCATTTATTTCAATAAAAACTTAAATAAAATTAAGTAACTTTTACTAAATTAAATATATACAACTAAAAAAAATAATATGTTCTGAAAAAAAATAATAATTTGTCGCATCTTTCTTAAAAATTATCTATCGCATTCTTTAAAATTAGACTGTTACATGTTAGAACATAGGACACTTAAGTTCTAAAACAAAAACATTATTATTATTTACATACTATCTAGTACCAACTACTATATAATTTCATCATTACTGTCAGTATCCCGTATGGTCTAGTGGCTAGGATACCTGGCTTTCACCCAGGAGGCTCGGGTTCGATTCCCGGTACGGGAAAATCTTTTTATATATTTTCTCTCGTTTTGTAATTTTTTTAACCACGTTTACTATTTAAACTCCATGATTTTGTTATCATATGTTCCGTTATTACCTGAACGCCTCCAAGCATTCAATATGGCAGCCACTGCTAAAGGCCTACGTTCAGCAGTGATCGTCACATATGGCTGATACATATAATGATAATGCTAGCTACTATAGCGCGTATAAAAATTTAAGTTTTTAATACCCAGCACAAAAATATTGATTCAATAATAATCGTCTGCACTGAAGCTAAGGAGCAGTGTCAACAAAGGTGGCATGAGCAAATAAAAGGAAATACATCCATTATAACAAGACCTCTGACGCTAGTAAATTTCTCGCCACATTACCTTGAATCATGCAGTAGTGGGGGGCTGAGGGAGCTCTAGTTACGCTGGACTGCAGTACTGGGGTGGATTGTGTATTCGGATGAATGCCCATACGTTTTTTCAATATGGCCGCTTTCTGTATTTATTGTCACGTTTTCAAGGTGATGCAGATAGGAATTGATGGTGCAATTTTAATGAAATAGTAAGCTGAAATTAATGTTATACGAAGATATACCTAGTTGGTCATAAAGTTGTACGATTTTTACTCCATTGAAAACCATAGAAAGTAGTCGGTTAGTCTGGTACAACAAGGCACAATGTTGCGCTGAGTCTTTTTGCTAAAAAGTTTTTATAAGGCGCATTGGTAAACACACAATTCGATTGTAGTAAGTACAATATTATTTCATTGTCTGATTTTTCGCTCTCTTGGACATTAAACAGTGGGTATGGTGAGTTTCGTAGATGTCATGCTTGGTGTGCCACCTTTATCGCGTCCTACTTTATATTATAGGTAAGTATTTTATTTCAGTATGTCCTCGGGATAGTTTGACAAAACAACGGTATTTTTGAAATCTTAATCTGCAAAATCTCGGGATCGAAAGATCTCAAGCTAGGCGGTGTGTCCTGCGTGGGTTGAGCACCACCGTGTCCTCAGGAATGTGATCGGCGACGGCGACCTCTCGCGTCCGGCTCTGGTTCAGACCATGGTACGGAGCGAGGAGGACTGGGATGCCGTCTCCTCCTTCTGCGAAGCAGTCATGCTAGCTAAGGAGGAGGCGAAGCGCGTGAGGGAACGAACTTCCTCATGCCCCGGCCGTCGCGAGAGACATTCCGGGCGTCGGGGAACGCGAGACGACGAGACGACGGCGAGCACGGGTGACTCGCCGCCCGACCAGAACCAGGCCCGAGCGTACGGCGCGTTGCGTTCCGCGCGCGCCTCAAAGAGCCATCAGACCACCACGGATGGGGCCCAACAGGGCTAATGCCGATACGGAGCCGCGGAAGACTTAACGGGTTGCCGGGGCTCCGGCTCGAAGTGCAGGAGTAGGAACGGGGTGGTTTTTAGTTTACTGACTCTGACACTCCCTCCCGCCTCACCCGGGTGGGAGAAGTCATTGGATGATTTTCCCCCCTCAAAAAAAAAGGTAATTTAAGTAGGTACACTACACAAACAACGGTACCAAACTGACAAAATACAGTCATAATTGAAAACAAAAACAAATTGTTATGTATAGCATTAACCACTTTTTTCCCCAACCCCCGACGGTCAATTGTTTCCACCACTCACTTTGAACATTAGGGTCGCGGCTTCACTAGACAGGGCTCATTCATGGCGTTATGATGTGGTTAGTTTACACTCCTCTGCTTACCCACATTCCTGGAAAAATCCTTTACCGTGTGCCTTTATGAACCTGGGCCTGTCCATTCATGTAAAATACTTTATAATGGTTGTTTGTTATATGAAATAATGAACTGTAAGCTGAACGGCTTTAAGTTTCCACACATTTTTTGTTTCTTATGGAATAAGTCGGTAAAAGAGCAGACGGATCACCTGATGGTAAGCAATCGGCGCCGCCCATGGATACCTGGAACACCAGGGGTATTACAAGTGCATTGCCGGCCTTTTGGGCATTAGTAATATAAGAATAGTTGGTGAATCGGTGATTGGGGAGATTGAGGTAATAGGGTCTCTGGCTACCTCACTCACACGACCAAACACAATGCAAGCATTGATTGTCTTTCGCGAAATTGTTGTTGTTTATTCTAGCAATAATGATGAAGTCTGAAATTGTGCTCGGTGTATCGCAATAAACTCACCTTCTTTTAAACGAGGCTTATACATAACTGGTCTAAAGTGGGATAATCTATATCTATACTAATATTATAAAGAGGAAATATTTGTACCTATTTTTGTATGTTTGTAGGTATGTTTGTAATGAATAGGTTCAAAAAGTACTGGGCCGATTAAAAAAATTCTTTCACCAATAGAATCCTACATTCTTCCAATTTAACATAGGCTACATTTCATTTTGAAAAAAACTAGGGATCCTTGGTAAAATTTGAACAATGTAACCGAAGATGTAGAAAAATGAGTCTTAAATTGTCTTTCGTCGAATGCGCTGCCAAAACTATTAGCGATAGAACAAAATAATGTACAACAATATTGAAGAACATCATAATGTCTACTTTCTCCTCTCTCCTCTTCGCGGTAGCTACAACAATCCAAATTTCCAAAAATAATTAATTGTCTACCCCGTGCGAAGCCGGGACGGGCTGCTAGTCTCTGTATAAATTGGGAAGTACCTAATATATGGCCCAATATTCGACTCCTTAATAAATAGCTAAAAAACACTATCCACTCTACCGTATCGTCCTACTTAATACAATTCGTATAAGAGGTCAGTTGGCAGCAGAAAAACCGAGTCACCGCATTCCACAGTTGACGCCAAAATCCTCGTTAGCCTACTTTAGTGAGATTTATAGAGTTGTGTTTATCAATAGTTAAGTAAATATGGTAGGTAAAAAAATGCTCGCTTTTTGAACGCCATATGCTGAAATACTCAAACAGTACTCAATTTTCTATGAAACTGAAACGTAGTCTGTCGCTGGCCTTATAAAATTGTTTCCATTGCATTTAAATATATTTTCTTTTAACTATAGTTTCACGGAGGGATCCTGTCCTATTGGGACATGTGATTGAACTCCTAATGTACAAAAATACTTATGTTTAACTATCGCTATTTTTTGAAACAAACCCTTAAAACTAAACAGCCGTGACTCTATTTTCCCATCACCCCTTTTCTAAAACCACTTATAAGTTCTAACATAACAATATACACATATTGAGATTGTAGACTTCTCACTGAGCTTACAAGAGCGTTCTCAACGGGGTCAATGACCCGGATCGATAGTGCACCTTCGTTAGGTGAGCATAGAGAAGTGCAGGCTTCTAATTGGAACCTAGTGCCTTGTTGAGGTAATGGCTT